GCGAAGAAATATATCTGTTTAAATATGGTGATTAATGCGATTAACGAGGAATGGTTAACGTCTCCGGTGATTAAGTAAAACTGTGCCGAATTCTTTACCTCGAATATGCAGCACACGACGTTGCAATCATTCACGCTCTCTACACACAACTCATTCAAGTTTGTTACATCCAACACCCATTCCTCTCCCTAAATCTCTCCCAATCCAAACGATGCATCTCCATCTGGAACGATGCTCCTTCAGAACAAGGCAACATCTATCGCTCTCCTCCTCTTCTCCCTTTGGAGATAATTGATTTTATCCTATCACAATTAATATTACTATCACCTGCCAAGGGGGTTCTCGTAACTTATCCTCTTCGTCTTGAGTTTTGGAAGTAGAAAAAACGAGTTGAGGAACATGTCAAGTCTCATTGCAGTACGTTGAGTGATGTTCAGCCAATTAGGCAGCTTGACAGGATTTAGTGTTGTAAGCATATCCCAAGGCCATGCAGGATTCGAATACACATCGCACATTGATCTAATAATACTTCGAGCACAAACTGATGGATGTCTGTTCAAATTGATATCGATTACAATTCCTGAAAAAGAGAGTCGAGCTAAGATTTGGAAAAATATATTCCTTCTAGCCGACTTGAACGACTGACCTCGTCATCAATTATTTCCATACTAGTGACGCGCTCTACCAACTGAGCTAAGAAGGATTTAGGAGACACCCCGCTTATATTTAGATATTTACATACAAAGGACGGGCTCGTAATAACGGCAAGCTCACAAATTTCCATAACCTCTTTATCACGCTCACCAGTAGCTAACTCAGGAGGCTGACACTCGGGTTTTATATCAGCTTCATCGTTTGATAATCTGAGGCCTTCATGGAAGACAGGCCACACAAAGCACACAGGCCTGCTCACTCGGGCAATAAAGCTGAGAAGAAAGAGTCCAAGGGAAAAGGGAAGGAGAAACAGCATGGATTCAACGAAAAGGTAATGTCAATTAATTTATATATCACCTTTTCACGAAATTTTACTCAATCTTCTCTACTACAGGCGTTTGCTCCTAAATCCGGTCGGAATGCCGACCGTCTAGGTCGACGAGCAGTCGAAAAAGACCAAACGCGGCTACATGTACCTCTCGTCAACCGAACGCCCGACGACCTTCCCCCGCCTATCATCGTCGCTATCGTTGGACCGCCTGGAGTGGGAAAAACAACGCTACTCAAATCTCTCGTTCGAAGATACACCAAACAAACCCTGAGTGAGCCCAAAGGACCGATAACAGTTGTTAGTGGGAAGAAGAGGAGGATCACTTTTGTGGAGTGTAATAATTCCTTGAATAGTATGATTGATATTGGCAAGGTGGCAGACCTGGTGATGCTGATGATAGATGGTAGTTTTGGATTTGAGATGGTGAGTATTCATATTCGTTGAATATAACACTGTACATGCTAAACTATGGATAGGAAACCTTCGAATTCCTCAATATCCTCCAATCTCATGGGTTTCCCAAAGTCATCGGTGTCCTCACACATCTTGACCTGATCAAAAAAGCCGCTTCCCTCCGCGCGTCCAAAAAAGCGTTAAAAAAACGATTTTGGACCGAAATCTATCAAGGCGCCAAGCTCTTTTACCTCTCTGGAGTCCTCAATGGACGATATCCCGATACTGAAATTCTCAACCTCTCCCGCTTCATCAGTGTGATGAAGTTCCGACCTTTAGTCTTCCGCAACACACATCCCTACGTCTACATCGACCGTATAGAAGATTTGACTCCGCGAGAACTAGTAAGAACTTCCGGAGGAAAATGCGACAGAAGGGTATCGGTTTATGGGTATGTAAGAGGAACCAATTTGAGGGAAGGACAAAAAGTGCATATGCCGGGTGTAGGCGATCTGGATATGGAGAGTATCAAGATCCTGGGTGACCCGTGTCCGTTACCCGATGCAGACTCAGAGAAGAGGAGGAAGTTAAGTGAGAAAAAAAAGCTGCTGGTTCATGCACCGATGAGTGATGTTGGAGGCATGATCTATGACAAGGATGCGGTTTATATCAATGTTCCGGGCAGTTTCACTAGAAGGAATGACGGTGAAGATGATGAGGGAGGCATTGTGCAAGGTGAGGGAGAGAGGATGGTGATGGATTTGCAGGACGCGGGCATGACGCTTGACGATGCGGTCAAGCAGACAAAGATTAGACTCTTTGGGTCGTCGGAGAAGCCTTTGGCGATTGGAGAATTCGATGAAGAGGATGATGAAGATGAAGATGGAGCCTCTGCTGATGAAGAGGACCAGGAAGATCTTGACTCTGATGACCAACCCAATGGCGAGCTTGACGAACACGCGCACACTCTCACCATGTCCAAACTCCGCGCAGACCCTCGAAACACCGGTCGTTCGCAACTTCGTCGTCCCAATCGTTCTTTTCCGTCATCTTTGTCTGCGAACAAGTCTTCACGACCGGATGTGGATTTTGTAGAGAGTGATTCAGATTTAGGTGATGGGGATGAGGAAGATGGCGAAGGCGCTCGATTCGTTGACGAGGAGGAAGAAATGGATGTTGACATTCCTGATGACAATGAAGATGAAAATCCCTCATCACAGGAAGACGACGACGACATAGCTGACGAAGGAGAGGGTACGGTTCATACAAAAACACTCGACGCACTAGCTCTCCGACGACGACGAACACGAAGAAACTGGGTAAAGGATATATATTCTAGCGATCTCTCTCCAGAAGAAATATTATCCCAACCTTCGTCTTCGTTAGCCGCCGAAGCGCAAAAACCAGAAACAGCAGCAGCAGAAGACGATGGATTCTTCTTCACCAAAAAATCGTCCAACACCGTTTCCGACTCACTCGACCCCGATCACCTCGACTTCTCAGATAAATCCAAACCCACACTTAATCCTGCAGAACTGAGTAGATGGGAGGACGAGGAAATGTTGGAGAGTATCCGAGATCTGTTTATCACTGGGGTAGATGCGCCTGATGGAGATGGTAATGACGAAGCAGGCGGAGATGGTGAAGAAGGCGAAGGCGATGATGATGAAGGTGGTGGTGATTTCGTGGATTTTGAAGCTGTAGGCGGTGATCCTTCCCTGACCACTGCTGCCTTTGCATCCTCTTCTACTACGACCTCTGCAGCGGGCCCTTCTTCATCTCGTGATGCCCTAGCCTCTAAAAAAGCGGCTCTCAAAGCGCGCTTTGATGAAGAATACGACGATCCGTCCGGTCCCAGCATGGATTTCTACTCGGAAAAGAAAGCGGAGATTTCCTCCCAACTCGAACTGAACAGGGCCGAATTTGCTTCAATCACTGATTTAGAAGCGCGCGCTCAGCTCGAGGGATACATCCCAGGGACTTATGTTCGAATTGTGTTGTCTTCGGTTCCAGCTGAGCTTATACAATACTTCGATCCAGCGTATCCGCTCCTCCTAGGTGGTCTACTCCCCGCCGAATCGCATTCCTCTCAACCATCCTCGTTCAATTTTGTTCAAGTGAGGCTGAAGAGACACCGCTGGTTCACACGACCGTTGAAGACTAACGATCCGTTGATCGTCAGTCTCGGATGGAGAAGATTTCAAACAATACCGATTTATTCATTAGACGATCATAGCATTCGGATGCGAATGCTCAAATACACACCGGAACACATGCATTGTTATGGAACATTTTGGGGACCTGGGGTGCTTCCTAATACTGGGTTTTGTGCGTTCAATACGGTCGCTGACGGCGCAGAAACAGGAGGGTTTCGAATCTCTGCCACTGGCGTCGTCCTTTCCCTCGCTAGCACTTCTCAGATTGTCAAGAAGCTGAAATTGACGGGAACGCCGTTCAAGATTTTTAAAAACACAGCTTTTATCAAGGGGATGTTCAGTAGTGCGCTGGAGGTCGCGAAGTTTGAGGGAGCGAGTGTCAAGACGGTTAGTGGGGTTCGAGGTGTGGTTAAGAAGGCTGTCAGTGCAGGAGGCTTAGGTGGGGATGGAAAACGGAAGGGAGGAAAAGGAGGAGATGGTGCATTTAGGGCAGCGTTTGAGGATAAGTTGCTGATGAGTGGCGAGTTGAAGTTTCATCTTTTTTCATTGATCAAAGTCTCATTCTCTTATTTATACATAGACATTGTCTTTCTCCGCGCATGGTACTCGGTACAACCACGAAAATTCTACGCACCGGTCACTTCTCTTCTTCTACCTTCCCAAGCTCAAAACTCACCATCGGACGCTGATACACCAATTGAAACAAAACAAACGTGGACTGGCATGCGTCTAACCGGCACCGTCCGTCGCTCGCTCGGTATTAAGACTCCTTTGAACGTGAACTCAACGTACAGGCACAAACTTGGAATTGAGCAACAACGAACAGAAAAGAAAGGAAGATTTGCACCATTAGTCATACCGAAGAGTTTACAGAAGCAACTACCGTATAAAAGCAAGCCGAAGCTCATGCTGAAGCAAGGCGGAAGTGGTAGCGACGGCAAGAGAAAACAAAACTATCTTTCAAGGCGTGCAGTGGTTCTCGAACCAGAAGAAAAACGAGCGGTGGCATTGCTCCAGCAAATCCGTGCATTAAGGAAAGATCAAGTCCAAAGGAGGAAGGAGAAGAAGGAAGCAGGGAAAGAGAGAAAGAGGAAGGAAGAAGAGAAGAGTGAAGAGAGGAAGATGGAAAAGGAAAAAGAGAGGAAGAAGGAGGTTATGAGGAATGTCGGAATGGGTGGAAAGAGGGATAAGAGGGAGGCGGAGGCAATGGAAGGTGGTAGAAGGAAGAAGAGAAAGACGGGCTAGATGTTTTTGAGGAATGCACGAAAATGTTGGTAATTTGTTCATGTAGCTACAACCCGACATTGGCAGCTGTACTCTCACTTACGCTTAGCTATTACTTGTTCCGAAGGCTATCGCATCCGCATGTCATCATTTTCGTTGTCAAAAAGTGTGAAGCGAGGGTACTACTAAACAGATATTCTATAGTTGTGGGGCCATAGAAAATCACTGGTAACATCGTCATTGGGCATCACCACCATCGAGACCAAAAGCTTCTCTGTTCCAGTATGAGATCCATCGGCATTGGCCATCCCCCTTCCCCCCTTTTGCCAAAGGCTGTCATCTTCGTTAGCTGTAACGAAACTTTTCCTCGTTCTCCTTAAATTCCTTTAAAGTAGAAACGGAGTCCGGAAGTGCATCATGTGCCTTCAGCGTCTTCAACGCAGATTCAATGTAATCCCAACAATTTCCACCAGGCTCTTTGTGTAGGGGCAAATCTATGGAAAGCAAAGCCTTCAAGGCCAGCTCTTTAGCGGCTGGGCTGTTGAACTTTGCTTTTCCCAATGGAAACCAATCGTAATTGTCCCTGCAGTATTCTAGATGTTCCTCTGGAATCTGTTCGGGGAGGAGTTGGGTTTTTGATGTGTCACTCCAGGATACCATCACATCGCCAATAGCTAGAAGCACGTGTCGGATCGGCTTTTTTCCCGGTATAGATTTATGACGACCAAGTCGAACTTCCAATTCGGATTCGCGGCGGAATAGTTCGGGTTGGAAGCCAGTCGCGCCATCAGTGGGCAAGGGTGACCCAGACGCTGTCAGCATACTCACGCAAAGATAGAGTAGAGTGAACAAGCGTGAGGTAGTAACCGTGAAGAGCATTTTTCGAATGATTTAGACACGAGACGTTCAAGGGCGGGGTAGGTCAATGTACTTCACAGTGTGATC